GCTGTAGATTTTCCCCCAGATTTTCGACATGGTCCATCCCAATTTTGGTGATGGCAGTGATGGCAGGATGCTCAACGAAATTTGTCGCGTCAAACTGACCACCGTGATGGGCCTCGCAGATAACAACGTTGACGCCTTCTTCAATGAACGTGTGGAACGCTACGATGGCCAACATCTGGAGAAATCCAGGGCGCTTGGTACCGATTGGCAGCGTGGCGGAATTGAGAGAAAGACCCTTGTACACCTCAAAGAACCGCCTTGCGAAGAGATCCTCCGGTAGTGGATTCGAATCGATCCGGATTCTGTTCCGTGGCCACAGACTTGGCGACGTGTACAGACCGATCTTTCGCCTAATTCCATTCCTTACTGCATGCTTTCGCAAGAAGCAGTCCACATAGGCACATGTGCTGCCTTTGCCTTTTGTCCCGGCGACATGAATAACGTTCAAGCGATTGATGTGCTCGGGCTAGTATCTGTTAGTAATTTTCTAAAAGGAAAGACAGGTATGGCGAGACCTCATGCCCAAGAGTTAGTAGCCAGCTGCTCATACCAAGGAGAGGCTCGTTTCCTCTCAAAGTCGAAGCATTTGGAGCCCTAGGGGCGCTCGGCGGCAATGACGGCGTCGCCGGGGAATCGGTAGGGAATGGCCGCCGGCACTGTTGAAGTTGCGAGAGAGCTTCCTAGGCCCGTTAGCTTCCGCGTGTCACTCAGACTAATAAGCTTACTTGGTATGTCATGTTCGACGTTTGGGGCTGTCTCTGTTGGTGGCGTGATCCCACGCAGACCTCGGAATTTGCTGAGACAGCCAATATTGTGCCCAAGGCGACAATTGACCTGAGGTTCGTTCCCATAGCCGAGTGGCTTGGCATTATTATGTAATTATGGCAGTACCAGGTACATTACTCGGTGTTTAGACCACTTGTCAATATACGGGGTGATACTGTATTTTTACCCTGTAAACATGTGACTTTTTTACTATGAAATCTGCTTACTACTTGTGACTGGCCAGATTTTTACATAAGACCATTTTTGTAGTTATTTAGTTAGTTAGGTACATGTATCTAGAGAACTTTACCATCGTGAATTCACCAGTACGTTCGCCGCACATCTGATTTCTGTCGCCACTAATAAAAATCTCGCGTTCCTCAAAGTAAGGTCTCGAGAAATTCAAAGGAATGGATGATTTCTTGTCAATAGGCAATCCTTACTACAGTGTCCAATCTTCAGGAGTGTATCTGTGGCGTGAATAGTCGTTGAAATATATCACTAATACGAAGTAGATGTCATCGACCGCCGCAAGAATGTCGTCGATCTAATCATACAGGTTTTTCTGCTTCATGCCTGGGGGGTGATTAATAGGCCAAAAGAATCTGTTATAATGAAACTCGAAATCGATTGTGCAGTCAAAGCCCCAATGACAAGTCACGTTGGAGAAGAAACAACTCAGAAATTGCACAGCCACATCCACGGCAAGAACTTCTTGGATAGAGACATAGGAAAGTTTATACAACTTAGTATGCTTGTTGGTACTGAAGCAAATCCTATTAAGTTCAAGAGAAAGAGGTTTTTGGAGTCAGCGGGTTGGACACCTGGATGGTCATGCAAGAAGACCCCGCGGTGCGGACACCGCACCTGTTCGGAATGAAGATTGCGCATAAGATAGCGACGTGGAAAAGCTGGTTCGAGCTTCCCCAAAGATCAGATTTACCCGGTGCCAAACGCTCTGGAATTCGGAACTATAGATGTTGATCAGGATATTCGTTTCTCAGGGAATCGAATACGCAGTTAGCGTGCAGACATACTCCCCCGCTCGTCCAGCACCGCCGAAATCCGACCCTGTCCTCGTCTCCCGCACGATCGCGCCCACGCTGATGGCTGCCGCTTGATCTTGCCGGGGGCGTCAGCCCCGGGGTGGTCTAGATGAAGCCGGGCGAGGGCAGCCTCTGGGAATCCTCCGTGGGCCGGTGGAGCATCATGAAGAATGCGGCATCTCAAAGACCAATCTCCCCGCCGGCCTTGCTCGTTGGAACCGCGTGAGCAATGGTCTTATGTAGTGTAGTTCGTCGTCTTCAATCATACATTGTTACTTGTGATCGCCTCTGGAACGTCGCAGACCATGCCTGAACGCTCACACGGAGTATTCCTGTGGCTTTGGCCTGGATTGTAAGGGCAGAAGTGAACTTTCATATCATCACCTACTGTCAACCAGCATTTTGGATTGCACGCGCTTGACTTTTCTAGCGTGTGATTCCAAGCCTGACCCGTTTCTCCTTGGTGATCTTGGGACTGGTTGATTGGTCTCAAAGCGAGAGCTTGAGAATATGATGACCAATCGTAAGACGTACACTGCCGTCAACCACTTGATCTCATACTAGCTCAGCGTTTTTCGAGTCTCGCGTGCAATAGTTGACACACGTCTAGGATCAAGTAGCCCACCCCGGGTGGTTTCCACAATCAAATTTCCTGAAGGGCATCCGTTGCTCGCCCACTGTTGCGAGAGCCCACGCACGTTGAATTGGCCTGTTTTATATCAATAAAAAAAAAGTAGAATTGAAGGTTATAAATATCGAGGTTATCAAAGCTATCTATTTGGCTTATTGAAGTTGAAGTAAATCAATAAATAATGATCTTTTGTTCATCATGAGACAGCAAGGCGCCGCCCTTCTTCACAAAGGCAATCAAACCTTTTAATTGATGGCTCCTCAATTTATAGTGCTTCTTTCCGTGGGGACCTTGCCAGCAATGTGGGCCGAGATGGCATGAGGAGGATGTCCCGTGTAGTTTCCGTGAGGAACTATATATGGAAGAGCGGCATAGACTGGAGAGTCAACAATCACAGAAGAACAAGATGGAAGGCTCCTCAGGAAGCTGTCAACCTATCAATATCAAGTTCAATGGGATGCGATCTTCCCCGCAACATAACACGTCCAATCTAACCACAGCCTTAGCAATGGCTCAGCCATGCAATGACCAAGTCATGGAAGACTTCAATCTTACTGGACTAAGGGACGAAGCTGTCAAAGACTACGGCGCGTGGCATGAATTAAATGTTGGTGATGAAAATCTGAAAGCACAGTTTTGGCAAGCATGCAGTATGGCGTTAGCCAATGGTCTTGATCTTAGACTGATCCACGAGGACCCAGATCCCTTATTCTTTATCGACAAAGGGACTGTGGTGGGTATTGCACGCCAATTTGTGAGATATATTGGCCAATGAGTTAAGTGTGTAAGGTGTGTAAGGAATATCACGCTGGACGACCTAGCTACGCAAACCGTAACTTGAACCCACATGAAGGCGTAGGAAGGCGCTCGTATACACACTAGATTGGCTTATAAATGACTTCTGTTTTATGAAAATCTTTAAGCTGACGATTAATTCACAATTGTAGACACAAAAGTGGAGCACTCTGTTTTCGAGATCCAACAACCTCAATGCACCGCTCGAGGAAAAATTGAAATCCTTGTCCTGGGTCTTCTTCATACATCACAAAGTTCCGTCTAATATATGCCTTTCACTCAGAGAATAACCTCTCGATAGAATTCAAGTTGGATGAGTAAGATGGTAGATACATGAGCTTTACCCCTGCTTCGATGCACATTTCCTCAATACGATCAGAGTGGTGGAATGATGCGTTATCCATAACTAGAACGGACTTTGGTTCAGGCCATCTCCCACAATGCCGAAGCAGCTGACCAACGAAGTCCTCGAAGACTGCAGCATCCTTGGAGCCCTGGAACACACGAGAGAGCAAAATTCCGTCTTTGCAATATGCGGGTAGTATCTGGTACAGCTGGTCACGATGGAAGTTGGCTACCTGCGACGGCACCGTGCCTAACGGAGACCAGCCAGTCTTTCGGAACGCGATCCGCTTATCACACCAAGACTCATCCACGTAGACCAAATGTCACGATTGAAGGTCTGACAGGTTGTGTTGTGTTGTGGATGTAGAAATCTCGTAAATCCGCATTCTGTTCCTTTGCTCTCTGTCGAGCAACTTTCTTCGACCAACCCACGGAAGCAAGAGCACATTTGAGACTCGAATTTGTGACCTGAATGCGGAACTCGTTCTACAAGAAGATAGCCATCTCGTCCACATACAGCCCAGGATCTTCGAGGAGGCGATCGCATAGTGCTTCTATCATCGGAGGTGTTACGGTCCGTCGTCGACCTACTCAAGTTGGGGGTGCTCTGACATTTCCAAACCGGCAAAGATTGTTGCTGATGTTGGTGATTGAACGCTTACTACATTCAGCAGCTTTGGCCATTTGCGAGGCAGTCAATAATGTGCTCAATATCATGTCCTGGATCATCTCAAGCTTTGAGAGAGGGAGTCTTGGCGCCATGTTGCGAAGAAAAGTCTGGACTTTGATATAGGAGAGCTTTGGCAGACGTAGTGGTCTGGTATGTACCGCCGAGGGGCACAGGGAGCGACTTCGTCTGCTCACCCTTGCTCACCCCTCTGCTCAGTGAGCAGGTAAATTGAATCTGGGCGAAAAGTCTGGGGGATGCAGGCTATTAGGTAATGCACTTGACAAGGGAGATACTGCAGTTCCTGGGAGCTTGGGGCCCATCTCAAAGCTGCGTACCTCAAAAAAAAAGTCGTTGCTTGGCTGGAAAACCATACGTTAGTTTCAGTATACCAACAACCAAATGCGATCTCAAAGTATCCATCGTGTACTTGAAAAAGCCGTGAGCAATAACCTCACGACGTGATACTATCGAAGCATGCTTTTCATCCCGCAGGTGTCGGGCTGATTATCGCGTGCTGCGCTTGAGCTGAGTGTTCTGGCTCGGGTCGATCCGGTTCCTGGGAAGGTGCTAGGCCTGCCCCACAATTCGACTTGGGTGGCCTGCAAATCTGGTCTCCTGTCTTAGCGCCGCGGAGCCGAGTCACCTGACGATGTACTCCTCAGTTGAGAGCCAGAAAAGAGCTTATAATGAAATACAGACAGGCAAACTCACTCGATCGTGGCTTCGACAAGTCACTCCGGTGGCAACTATGGAGCCCAGGTGGGGATCAATTATGGCACATTCACGGCAGACTTCCATCTGCCTCCGGGTGAGTCGGAAACGGAACCGAACAGGTCAAGGTCGACGACTGACTAATTACCGCTTCCCTCCAGAGCGACCAGAAACTCCGCCCAGCCCTTTGTCAACTGTGCCATTCGCGCGCGATCCAGAATTTGTTCGTCGCGACAAATTACTTAATCAGATCTATAGCAAAAGCTCAGTCGCGGGTTCGAGGATAGCGCTCATTGGCCTCGGCGGTGTTGGGTAAGTGTATAGCAGCCCTTACATAATCTATCACTAACAACTCAAAGAAAATCGCAACTTGTGATCGAATATTCCTATCACGTCTGGTCCAAATTACCGGCAACATGGGTTTTGTGGGTCCATGCAAGCAACGATGCCCGATTCGAGCAAAGTTTCCGGGACATCGCGGATCAGGTCAAAATCCCGGGTCGTCAAGATCCCAAAGCCAAAGTATTCAGTTTGGTCGAAAATTGGCTTCGGGATAAGAAGAAAGGGAAATGGGTTTGTATCCTTGATAGTGTCGATAATGATCGACTACTTTGCGCGGTTACGATGGCGGGGAGCTTCTCCAAAGAAAGCTTGAACAACCACGAGAAAGCGAAGAAAGCCAACAGTTGGTGAACGAGTTGGAATTTATGCCGCTAGCGATCGTACAAGCTGCTAGCTATATTCAAACTCGGGCGCCTCATTGTTCGGTCTTGCAATGCCTGAGAGATTTCCAAGGGAGTGACCGTGAAGCGACAAAGCTTCTGAACAAAGAGGCAGGTCATCTCCATCAGGACTGGGGAGCGAAGAACGCAATTCTGGTGACGTGGCAAATCTCATTTGATCATATTCGCCAAACAAAGCCATCTACCGCGCAATTGCTTTCTCTCATGAGCTTTTTCAATCGGCGAGGTATACCAGAGAATCTTATCCGGCAGCAGCCTAGGACCAACCACATATCAAATTCGGAACTCCCAAGTTACTCCAATGACGAGGTGACATCCGAATCTGATTTAGGTCCCGATTTTGATGATGACATCGCAGCGCTAAGGGAATATTCATTTATATCTGCTACTGAGAGCAGCACATCCTTCACGATGCATCGGCTATTGCAACTGACTATGCGCGCGTGGTTAAAATCTCATGAACAAATAGACCAATGGAGGGATAAAATTATTGGCATCTTGTGTGACGAGTTTCCCACTGGTGAATACGAAAACTGGGATAGATGTGGGCCTCTTTTTCCTCATTTCAAATCTGCTATGTCTAAGCGGCCAGCATCAACTCAGTCTCTGCTGCAATGGGCTACATTGCTTTACGAGGGCGCGTGGTATGCGTCACGATGCGGTAACATCATCGATACAAGAGAAATGACATCAAGATCAAGAAATCAACGAACGATGGCACTGGGCAATACCCACGAAAAATTTGTCGAGAGCACAGCCATTTTGGCAATAGCGCACTGGCATGAGGGTCGATGGAAAGAGGCCGAGCAGCTCCTAGAACAGGTAGTGTAGACTCGCAGTGAGAAGCTCGGCGAGGACCATTCCGACACGCTCATGAGTATGGCCAATCTGGCATCAACGTATTTGAAACAAGGCCGGCTGGAAGAGACTAAACGGCTCGAGGTGCAGGTGTTAAAGACACATAAGACCAAGTTCGGTGAGGACCATCCCATACGTTGTCTAGCATGGCCAACCTGGCATCGACCTACTGGAACCAAGGTCGGTGGGAAGAGGCAGAGAGAATCTTAGCCCAGGTTGTAGGGGCTCGCAAGACAAAGCTCGGCGAAACCCATCCTTCTACGCTGAAGAGTATAAATAACCTAGCATCGATGTTCCGGAATAAGGGTCGATGGGAGGAGGCTGAGCAGCTCGAAGTGCCAGTACGAGAGACGATCGGCACGAATTTCTGCTAAATTGCCTCTTCACTAAAGAGCATGGCTATTGGCTAATCTCGCTTTAACCTGGATTTCTCCAGGTGACATTATTGAGACCATCACTGCTATGAGAATTTAAAGTCAAGCAGCAATGAATATATTGTTGAACCACCATCCGATCGCTATTTTCAAATTCTATACATTGCTTGGATGAGGAAATAAAAGGAACAAGATATGAATTTCTAGATGTAATAAACTTAATTGATCGTGCATATCAAACTTTGCTTCATTTGCCAAGCTTCCAAGATGGTCTTGTATTATAGAATGTCTTAATGCTAGCGACTGTTGCTGCTAAGAGAAGGATGGTAATAGACGATCAGCAAATTGTTAGGGCAACGAGGTGATATACTAATTGTACTAGCATTTCACGTTATTTACAGCACTGAGTTCTCACATACAAGACGTTTCAATACAATTCAATCTTTGTAATAACGCTAGGCCATATACAGATTAGCGTGTTTGGAGATGGGGTTTGGAAAAGAATAGATCAGAAAACATTGGTGAAACTGATTGCGATCCATCCTTTCTTACAATCTCGTTGAATTGAAATTGGTGGAATGGTGAATGATTGAAATGAATTTGGGATTATTCTTGGACATGTTCCAGTATGATACACCGCAAGTTTATCCATCACGTTCTTTAATCACTGAAATCACTGAAAATCAAGTACATAACATTCGAATACTGCGCCCTCTTCCCACATTTGGGAGCTCAGGGCGACACATTGCCTGCGTGGTATCCACTTTCTGACCCCGTCGTATTCAGAATCTTCGGGCTCAGTTCAGCTGGCTTGGGCAAAATCCGTCCAAGCTCGAGATTCTGGGCTTAATCGCGTAATCTTGCTTGTTTGTAGGCCCATCTCCCCCAAAGTTCTTTTCTCGTTACATCTCTACGTCCTTTTATATTCTAACATCCTCTAGTGTCATTTGATCTTTCCAAGATTTGGCAAACAGCCAGTGCACGATTCTCCACAGAGTTTAAACTTAGAGCTCAACGAATTACAATTTGTCAAAAGTCCATGGGGGTCAAAGATGCTGGACCCACTTTGGTCCGCTTGGAGTGGCGTCCAGCATGGGTGCAGTGCCCCACTAGTAAGCAGCTTATGGCTTAGATACCTTTTCCACGTAATCGATTATGTCGATACCGTGATCAATCAGCTCACTGGTTTGATATTCAGGCATTTCCGAAACAATATCCCAGAATCCTGGGAGCTCGTCTTTGCAAGCTCCCGGGTGGGTCCGAGCCAGGTTCTTCAGCGACTCGAAAAAATACACGGTGACTGTATTAAGTTTAATCTGGATCCGGTCTTCATTCGCATCGTCGTCCGCACTATTGCTCGTCGCGTCAACTAGCAACAGCAAGGCATACCAGGGCACCGCCACCAAGCGAGTAGCTTTTCTTTTTTCCTGCTGCGGGATCTGCGGACAGCAATCAGCACAAGAGCTCTCACAGTGGTAGACATAGCAAAAGATAACTTCTCCGGTTACCAGAAAATACATCTGTCGAGTGTAGCGATAACGATGAGGCTGCGCGGGGCAGGAAGTAGTTGGCATACCTGGGGAATCTGTTTTGTATCCTGCAACTGGAGAAGGTAGAAATTGCAGCACCAGAAGGATCCGTCTGACAAGCGATCATTGGTCTTGGCGAATGCCATCTTGTTTTGCACGGGAACGATTGCGACCTTCAGTCCGTACTCCTCCAGAGTCTCGCGGACGATCGCATCCTCGGGGGTTTCGTCCGCATCGGCGCCGCCGCCAGGGCCGGCTAGGCTATCTGTGGTGGTAGTGAGCATGCAGCTCTTCAAATCAGGGAGCAGCATTACGTGGTCCGCCATAGGTCTTAAACCCGTCTTTGATGGTCTTTCTAGTTCTTTCGTGCATGATCATGTAGCGCTGGCCATTGACCAGGACGGGTATCAAGCCCATCGTGCCTATTTTCTGCATTGGTAGTAAACTGATGGCAGACATTATGGGTGGGCGACCGAGGGCAGCTTTGGGAAGAAATGAAGAAATGATGGCGGTAATGAAAAAGCAATGTGTTGGTGACAGCGGTGATTTAGCGGCTATGGGAGAGGGTGGCTGTGCTTTATAACCGTGGGGTGATGGACGCACTATGCCAGAAAACAACACATGGGTCACGATTTAGAGAAACCATGGCCCGGGCCACTAGGCCGCCCAGAAACCAACCCGCTCAAGGCCACAAACAACACCATTACTTGGCGGTAGAGCCTTTTAGTCTTTTCTGGGTCCGATTGTTCTAGGCTTTCTCCCCGATTTGTCGTCCCGTCAGGCTTCACTTCTGCTGCGCCTTCTATCTTCGTCCTGTGCTTGCGTCTGTGTCTATGCACAGCCTGTGATTTGCGAAGTCCATGTATGTTAGCCTTGCGGTCGGATCTACGACCAAGCAAGACAGATTTTGTTTCCAGTCTCGGATGCTGGGCGGGAGCACGAAAGTTTAGGCTAGAAAGGGTCGCAAAACACGCACCAGGATAACTGGGACCGCTCACGATGTGCCATTGATCGTACCAAGTCCAGACGGCTTTAATACCATATTCTAGAACTTGCTGCTGGCTCAGAATGGCAGTTTGGGTTTTGGTAACATATTGGATGCTATTAGATTAATAAATCCTAGAAGTCTGAAGAGATGAGATATACTTGATGAATTGGATCTCTTTCGTGAGAGAGAAGCGGAATCATCGAGAATGGGTCCACTTGCTCTCGTGTCTCAAAGGAAGTTCATATCATTGAACCTACTCGATTAAAGAACGCTGGTTTGGTCACTCGTAAAATTCCCTCATGTATCAAGTTATCCCATCTATCTTTCGGTGGGGAATCTCAAAGTTGGGGTGCAATCCAAGTTCTTAGACACCCGTAAGACGCGTTTGAACAGCCGGTCGCTCAAAGCCGTCTCGGAGTACTGCTCACAATGCATGCGCTGGTGGAATTGATTTTATTGAATTCGCGCCCAAAGCGTTTCGAGTAAATGAAGGACTGCAGGATCCAAACCTAGGGAGATCTTGTGAGTCTCGTCCCAAAACGGCTGCGGTATATCTATCATTTTACAAAACCCCAATCTGGTATGATGAAAAGTCCCTGTCTATCTTTGGTCGACACGTTTGAAGCCGATTTGTCTCAGCTGATCTCACTTTCTATACTAGGGTCGGGAGAGGCCGGGTGGGGGGCAATAAATTACAGATGCAGGTATAGACATGTCAGCCGAATGGGCGAGGACCATACTAGTACGATATCAAGAAAAGGAATTGTATTTAGGTGAATCCAGAAAGCCTTCGAGTCTTTTACAATGAGTGCGAGTTAACCCCTTTACACACCTGAACAAGTGCTGCCCAATCACCTGCCACCGCACACAGAGAATAGATATACTGGGGTAATTGGGTTGTTTTCTTTTTCGATTGTTGAACATATTGAGCAGGAGTAGCAACGATGAATTACATAAAGAGCGGTGCTGATGCCGGACAGGGCGGCCCAGGTTAATAGACATGTGCTTCGAACGGCTTGTTTGGGTGTTCAATTGAAGGAACCACTTGTGATTGACTCATGAGCCGCCAAAATCAAAGGACGTCGATTTTGATAGTGGGATATCGATGCCTGGGTCATATTGGTGTTACAAGTGAATAAACCACGCTGTGAATCCGAGATACTGCGCAGAAACAATACAGGCTCCTCTGACAGGTATAGTCCGGAATGACTCTCAACATAGACTGCTCTTTCTGGAACGCTAGGATTCGGAAATGGACTGACAGTGTAAGTGGTGACACCACTTCCAGAAGGCACCGTGCCACAGTCTCGCATGGAACTAATCAAGGGTCACGGAGTTAAAAAGCCTGTGCCCCGTATCGGTGGGGCCTTTGCCAGTGAATTGATTCTTCGACAGCCGAAGAGCAACAAAAGACAGACGCCGGAATCGTGAGAGCTCTTGCGCAATCATACTCGTGGAAATCGATGTTGCTTGGATGACACCAGCAACCACGATGATGCGGATAGAGAAATTCAGTTGTCGAATATGTCGCACAAACTCCAAGATTGACTGGCCGGTGTTGACCACGGAGTCAACAAGGATGACTGTCGTGCGGTCTTGAAGATGCTTATGCCGTATTTCGGCAGGTACCTTGGCATGAAGAAACATGGCAAGTGGTAGAGCCTTGCTCACGCCCAGTGCCATTGGTTCACCACCTCGCATCAAGGGTACGATCAAAGTGTCCTTCTCATGAAGAATTCGAAACCCTTCTGTTTGATGACCTTGAACGTGGGGAATATGGTATTTCTCAACGCCGAGAATTTGGCTACAGAATTCAATGGCAAGATACCACCCAACCTGAGAATGTGCATCCCGCAGTGCTGGCCCCGAGACCGCTGCATCGCGCATTGGTGTCATCAGCAGTTTGGCCGAGGAACAATCAGTAGCATGAAGGAGGTGAAGACTTTGCCGCCGGACAAACAGCGACTCATGAAAGAATTGATCCGTCAACTGTACTAAAGGCAGCTGGGACACGCTGAGGCGAGCGGTCGCATTTGACGGAAGCACAGCCTGGCGTGGCTGAAATCCAGCCTTTCCGATAGTTTTCGTCAATGCCTCGTCCATGCTGGCACTTCGCCACGCTTTGTCGCCCGTCACAACTATTGCTTGGTTGGCCGCTTGAAGCATTTCCAGGTCCAGTGGGCTGTCGCCAAAAGCCCAGACGTAAGACTTATGCACATGACGCAAACGACTCACAAGTGCTGCTTTCAGGGAGGGTGTCATGACAAGAGCGTCGGACACCCGACCCCCGCCAATGACTGGGACTGTTTTCGCCAAGCCCTCCCTCTGCAACACCTTCTCCCAGACCCTCCGAAGCCCGCAGGTCAACACAATCGCGCGGACGTGGGTCTGACCTGACACCAAGTGCAGGAGATCTAAAATTTCAGAATGAACCTTAATCATGATGGCCACTTTATCGCAGCAGTCATCAAATTCGTGATCGTCGCCGATGATCTCTTCACAGAGGAGTGTCGCCTGGCGGAAGCCGGTATATGAGTAATGCAGAGGGCTGCTAAACAAGCTTTTCAAGGGCTGTCTCTCGCCCGTTTCGGTCAAGTGTCCGGGAGCCATATCCCAGAACAGCTCACCGCTGTCCTGTGGCGCAAGCGTCTTGTCGGCGTCAAAGACCAGGACGGTCTCTGGCTGTTCGGATCCGGCGTTGATGAAGTCGTCCGTCTGTTTCTGTGCCAGTCTAGAGTTCAGATCTTCTGTGTGACTGTTCAAATCCAGGATGAAAGGGACGATTTTTCCCATTGTGATCTGACGTTGAGTGATGGTCGTGAAGATGATACCGTGAGATCTGCAGATGTGACGCAAGTGCCTTTTTTCCTCCTTTTGCCAATTGGTCAAATGAGCAACTGACGCCACCGGGCGACCTCGGTTCGAGTCACTCGATCGATACTTTTCGATGTCTTTGGGGGGCACATCCAAGTATAAGATGTGTGTGTAACAGTCCAGATCAGCTGGTGTGCACACCACTTGACCGGTGGATTCTTCCTCGGCCCAGAACATGGCATGCCCAGTGACTATCGCACTTCTTCCACTGTGGAAACTTTCTTGCTTGATCTTTTGAATTGCACGGCCACGAAACAATCCTTTTTCATCGTCGTTCAACTTTTGAAAAGCCTGTATGCCGCCAGGCGTGACCGTTGCAATCATTTGGCTGCCATCATAAAAGGAAAATTCGGCCTGGCTGAGGCCACATTTCAGAATATTCAACAAAAATGATTTGCCAGATCCGGGGAGGCCATAGAGTCCAATGATGACTGGCTTTCGACAGTCGACTGACCCCAAGGGGTCAGGCGTGGGTTCGTGGCTGCCATTGCCGTTGAGGGGTGGGGCAGTTGAAGGCTGCATGATTCAAGCTTTGTTAGAGCAGAGGTCGACCTGGAGGAAAGGGAGAGGGCAGTCAAATGTTCGGTGGAGAACGAATACACCCTGCACGCAAGCTTATATGATAGCCTCTTTGGAGAAGTAGCGGTCAACGGAGATACGTGGAGCTGCAGGCAGAGGGCGTTTTGAAAAAAGCGAAATGATCAAAATCAGAACATCCAATTGAAACCACGGCCAGCTGAGCCAGGAGCCACAAGGTGCCACGCATCACTCGTAAGCCATGTAAGGTGAAATTTGCCGAGGTGCAGTAGATATCTTGGAAGACAGCTGCAGAGCGATCAAGGTAAAAGAGGCCAGACACGCCGGAGGTCACGGCTCACTCGCCGGAACTTGTGAGGGTCCAGTTGATGACGATGGGCCACCGAAGTCACCTTTTCATCCTTGGTCGGATTGACTACCTCACATATCGAAGCCCAATCGTCTTTTTTGCATAGGCGAGCTGCTACTCTGAAGAAGAGCCAACGCGAGGTAAACTTGGCCAACATGTAAAAACAGATTGGGGCTACCTGATACCCAGAAAAAGAAGGAACCCGACGAGATGCAAATCCATCATATTGAGCCCTGGTGATTGAAAACATGACGTCTGAGGCTTCACTTAGTCTCGAAATATGTGTTTCCGCCAGCCGGAGCTCCTGGAGCTCCTCGCGAAGCCGGTCTCGATGCCAGGACGCTTGTGGCTGCCGGGGAAGATTCAGGCCCCTGAGCCATAGCCGCAGTGCTGCCCGTCCGAGTCGCATTGGCATTTGTGCTACGGAAATCATCGTGGAATCTTAACCGTAAGAATCAAGAATTCACGGCCACTAAATGACTGGCTTGTCAACGAGGAAGTTTTGTTGTTTGTAAGAAAGGGGCTGTTACGACAATCGTTAGCGGAGACGGAACATCTCAATATCCGATTTTGGTTCCTGCGGCAAACGCCATGCTGTCTACTAATTATTCCGTGTAGTGGCTCAAAGATCAGAATTATGATTCTTCGCCTTGCACTAACTACTGTAGGTCTCCCGCATCGTCGGCCTCCTGCATAGTGGCCTCCAGCATAGTGGCCTCCCGCATAGTGGCCTCCCGCATAGTGGCCTCCCGCATAGTGGCCTCCCGCATAGTGGCCTCCCGCATGACGAAATCGCATGATTTAGACTCGTTGGCCTGTGGAGAAATGGCTCGCATCATATCTTGATTCGGGAGTACGTGCTGTGTCAAGAGCTGGAATATCTGTTTTTAGATATGCAAAGGCCACCATTAACCGTTGATTGTGTTCGCATTCGCTTGAATGTGAGATAACTACATACTGCAGTCGCAGTCGCACACCACGAGAGCAGCCTAACAATGGGAACGGCGATGAGGCCACGAGAGGCCTTGACGAGGCTCTAAGTTCGTTTTTAGGAAGAGGATCACTCTACATGTATAAACAGAGATATACATCGTAGTTGTAGCCGGCATATCGCTTCGGCAGTTGAACCCAGGATTAAGACAACAAGTGTGATTATATTCTCTATAGAAGGATCCAGCTATCTATAATTCCCAGCAGCTCATCCTAGCGTAGTGTCTACCTAACAGGCAGCCACTTCTAGGGATCTATGCATCTCACGTGATCTGGCATCCAACTTGCTGCGAGGGGTCAGGGTAAATGAACAAAACACAATCCCGTACCGTAATCTCATACACTACAAGCAATGACTTTAGAGCCTCCAGGTTCAATGATTTGCTCACCGTACGATCATTCCTGTCGGTGACCAGCACTGGATTTAGATATAGTCACTGCCATTCCGTCGGTTCGGGGCTGATTTGAGAAGACTACACAGGGCGCTAGGAATACGACGATCTTTAATACACAAATTAGGGGAGCCCAAAATCACGTGAGAAGAGAACCATCGCAGCATAGCCCGAAAGATGAACGATAGCGATTGATATATTGAAAAGCAGCCTGCCTTGCCCTATTTGGGCTCATGGCCTCGCCATGATCACCGTTGTGAATTGATGGAATGAATGTCTCGTACGACCAGTAGTGAAAAGAAGCCAATCCCGCGTCGTCAGTAGATATGTATTGTCATATTCAACAACATGAATTCTTTATGCCTGACTGTTGACTAAAGACTGCGCACTAATGTCTTGGGTTGGGCCGCAAAATGGAAAAGCAACTCTTGGGGCGGAAGCGGATCTCGCTAGAGACTGTAGGAGAGACGTGAAGATCTTTATTTCTGCGGGTCATCCAGAAACCATATCCCTTCCAAGGTGAGCTTTGAATAAAACTTTAATAAAGGCTGAGAGCCCTTCATGTTTGATAAAAGATATCATATTGGTGGCTTGGTTCTACATTGCGAGGTTTGTTGAAGCTGTTGGAACGATATTGACTGGCCGCAGTTTAGGTTTGCATTCAAAAGCTAAGGGCGCATAAAAATGAGGAATGAAGAAGAAAAAGAAAAAGAAAAAAAAAAAAAAAAAAAAAAAAAAAAAAAAAAAAAAAAAAAAAAAAAAAAAAAAAAAAAAAAAAAAAAAAAAAAA